CCTGAACTGAAGCTTATAATAAATACTGCAGTAAGAACACAAAAAATAGCACCCTATGCATTGCAACACAAATGTCCACTCCTTTAGGTATATGGATTCTTCTCCTCAGATCACAAATAAAGCGACGATGAGGAAAAGCACAAAGCTTCATATCATCTGCTCGGAACTACCAGTCCTGTCCGTCTGGTTCCCACGTGTTGAGACTAAGCTGAAAGGCTGAAGACCTCCTTCTCCTGAAGACTGCATCAGTGACAGACCCACGCACAGCACCCACCCCACCACCCACATCCACCCCCCCGTCCCCATGAACTGTCACTCCAGATGGTCGGCTCTCTGGGGTGTCCCTGCTGTCACGGTAATCTATCTCAGGGTGGCCTCACAAGGTGCTTCAGCGGTCAGAACGGCATGCCTACCCAGTGGACCTCTCCTCACAGACACCCACCAGCCGGCCTAGGAGTGCCTGCGCTGCCTGTACAGGAAGAACGGTACTAGAAGCAAAGCTACCAGCTGCATGCTGCACACACTGAGGTGTCTGAAATGCTGCATAGCTCGCTAAGCTCTTGAGGTTGGAAAGGTGCATTAACAGGCTTTTCTTAAGTCTCCTTAATGCATCTTTTTTGTCAGACTATCCAGACTCTCAGAAACCCAGAAGAAAGTCTTTAATACCACTTAATCAACACCCTGACTGCTTGCAGGGCTGGGGAGGAGTGGGGAAGAGCTGCTCTGCAACTTGCAAAAGAAGAGAAAAAAACATACTGTACAGTGAAAGTACAGGGATTAAAGGAAATGGAACAGGAAATCCACTTTATCATTTTTATCACTTTATATATATACACTGATGCACAAATAATGGGCGACATTTGGACCTAAAGGATTTATTCATATTTTAGAGAGGTTTAAACTAAGAAATACCTGGAAATGTGAATAAAAACGCTGATCCAAGAATTATGTGTTTTTTTTGTATGAGACGTGACTCTCGATCAAAATGAACACATTGCCAAGAAGATATCACTCATGACCCCCCTTCCTATCCACACAGACCTCACCAGCCTCTTGGAAGAATGCCAATAGAGGTTTTACCAGTCTTGCTGTGCCTCTCTATTGAGGGCACTGCATCCCACAGATGTTCTGCTGGCCTAGAGAAGAAAGACTGAGGCGATCTGCTGTTAAAATAATTTCCTCCCCACTTCATCAGCCTTTCGGTGTCCCACCAGTTGGCTTGAAAAATGGCACCGATCAGTAAAAAAACACATGCTATCACTCTCCCTGCAACCACTGTAGGTGTCCTCTGGTTCACAGAAGTTCACAACACTGTCTCCCAGCTGACAATGTTAACTCTGAATGACTTCTCTCATGCAGACGGCAGAGCTAATTATTCTGCCGATGCATTGGTTGTCTCCCTGGACCGTCTTGTGCTGTTTCCAGTGGAGCCTACAGTGATTATGGAGGTATATCAGACACATGAAGGTTCCTCTTGACTAGTCCGATGAACTTTGAAGAAAAACATCTTATTCTCCAGGCAACTACCCACAGACAAGACACCTTCAACAGGAGCCTGAGGATCTTCTATACACAGGTGGGCCAGTCATTTCCTATGCTGTGCTTGTATTAATTTAAACCAAGTCTTTTTGAATGGCTATTCACATTTGCAATGAACTTATGAACTTTTAGCAATTTTAACTAAAACTGAGGACATTTTATGACATTTTTGGCCTCCATATTTTGTTATTCCAAGGAACGAACCAACCCCAACAATGAACAAACCTGTAAGAAACTTCGAATATTTAGTAACATATGCCCAATGAGCTCTCGTGTAAAACCTGTTGTGCCTTTTGTTGTGCATCAGTATATACGTGTCCGCAAACTCACAGGTATGGTGGGAATACGTGGCAGCGCTGAAGACACAGGGACTGTCCTTTATACCCCCAAACTGGAGAACAGAGATTTTATCGGGAGGGATCAGTTAAGAAATAAGAGTCCTTGCTGTTAGTGTGTCTCGTCTCCCCCTTGACAGCTATGAATCTGATGGAACTAATTTCTACAAAGCCTCAGCTGTCCACTTCACACAGCACGAGAGACACACTCCGTCTCAACTGCAATTCAAGATGTGCCAAGGGGGGAGAAAAAAAACAGACCAGGCCTGTTTACTCTGGGCTGTGCTCTCAACCTTTCTTCCATTACATCTACCGGGCTTCCTCCAAGGCTCAGACTTGGTAAAAATGGACAGTTCTGCAAGACAGACCCGAGTCTTGAGATGGCTCGATAAAGCAAGCCAGTACCGGATTCTTCACTATAATACATTAGCTCCTCTAAACTAGGGTTTCCAACTTCCTTGCAACAGCAGAAACAGGTCTTTGAATGTGCCACAACTGTGCACATAAAGCAGACAGAATCAATCGCTTTCATGTCTCTGTACTCTGCTGTACTGAAAGCACTTGTTAAAGCAGGCTACTATGTCTTTAATGGAAGAGGTAAGCTCTGTTCAGGCAACAGGAAGACTCTGCTTGCTCAACAGAGCAGTTCAGACGATCTGCCCAGAGATGCAGATGCATAATCACACATGGTCTAACAGGCACATACACTCGCTCAAATAGCAGGGGAAACGTAGCATAAATGCACGATCACAGACAGACAAGCAAGGCTGTCGTATTACCGACTGCCTTGACACTCATGAGTCACCATCTGCCTAGTCAAGGCTAAACAGGACACATGGTGCTGAAATCACTAACATTCAGCAAAGAGTACACACACCCACGTCATGTTTCCTTTCAATGCAAAAACAAACTAAAAAAATGCTCAACTCAGGGGTCTGCTCCGCATAATAAAGGGATTTTATCTTCAGCGAGCTCTGAGATAAAGGACACTGTGTTTCTATAGACATGCGACACGAACTGCAGAAGGCAGAAGATAATATTTCTCTAGCTGCACATAGCACAGAACGGCAGCCTCTTTTCATGATCTCTAGGGAAGTGCTTACAAATAACTATATCCTGCCGATTCTTTTCAGGTCAGCAAAAGCCAATGAACATACAGGCTCTGTGCAGCATTCTGCCACGCCCACCTTTTGAACCAATCAGGAGAGAATGAGAAGCAGACATAGTAAGCAGACCGAGTTCAGCTTTTGTTATGAAGTGAAAAAACAGCATGATTTCTCCAAATTGTTTATTTAATGAGAGAAACAACTGTCATTTTTTTTTTTACCTGAGATATTCCTTCAATAAGTTTTTTTTCCAGTCTAGGTGCATAGGCGTGTGAGTGTGTATTTGTGTGCGTGTGCATTTGCACGCTTGCATTTATTACCCAACACGCCCATGGCTGGTCCACTTTATGAAATGGATGTGCAGGATTCTAAACCATTTTTTTCCCCAAATGTGCACATTGCACTCCTAGCTTTTGCCAAATTCCTAATCAGTTGTAACTGTCTTGCAAAAAACAAAACACATTTACTGCAATTCAAGACTTTCAATTGCAAAACCTGACCGTTGTAATAGGTTTAGATTTATGACTTTCTTCACTGCTTTCCACTCTGCAAGCTGATGCATTTTTTTCCTGAATGTCTGTGTTCCAATGACTTAACTGCTGCAGCCAGAGAGTTACTAGCTTTCCAGACCTGCTGCTCTGTGTACCATGGGTTTAATGTCTGTAGGCACACTCTGCGGACCAACAGCCTTGTTCTTGCATGCTGTTTGTGCAACTAATTCATCCTCTAATTCATGAACAACAGATCAATCTAATAAAATTGCAAAGAATAATCACCAGGATTCTTCACATACTAGAAAAATTAATTTTCTTCACAACGCAAAATGTATTTTGTCCTCCATTCTCCCCTGACAAACTTTAACCTTTAAATCTTCTCTAGCTGGCCAACATTACAACCATATGAATGTAAAAATGTTACAAATAGTATTTCAGCAACCCAGCCCATTTGGTTTGTCATTTCCTACCTAATCCTACCTATTCTATATTAGTATTTGGACATACATGGCTTCCTACTATCCTTTGTTATAGAAATTTTTAAAATTCACATTTAACCATTTTTTTCTTTAAAAAAAAAGACTAAGAATGATTGCATCTCTGAGTTTTGGTATGTATCTAGCACTTGTGTACGAGGAATCCTAAAGGAAAGGAAGGAAATGGCTGTGAGAGAAGCAGTCGGCTTCCTCACAGATCCTCTGGGTAGCACCACTGGACCAAACCAGGAGAGTGTCTCATAAAGGCAAACGTGTACATGAATGCAAGATGACGCACACACAGTCCCTCACAGCAGTCCTTAATGGCCAATAAGGAACCCGTCTCAGCAGGGGAGGGAGGGAAGGCAGGGTGCATCATGGGCTTTCAGAGACGGTGGGGGACAGGGGGCAGTGCACAAATGTGGGTTCTTGTTACCCCCCTCCCCAATCCAAACCAACCCAACCCCAACCCTTCTTTCATCTGATTTCTGGACTGGTAAAGGATTCATTTTGAACAGACTTGGTCACCACCCCCCTTCTTGCCAGAAGCTCTTTGGAATTCAGGTGGCTGCAATTACTAGACGTTTTCTCAGCTGGCTGTGATCCCAACATAACAGCGTGTGGGCCTGTGTGCAAGGCGAAGTCACAGGAGCAGGTTTAAAACACTGGTCGCTCAACCCATGGTGGAGCTCACACGAGTTGAACAGTTGCACAGAGGTAAAACAATAACCCATAACCGAGACACACCCCTGTCCCAGGTCTGGATCCCCTGTCTGCCCCCCTCAGCTCAACGGAACAGCAGACACTAGCAAGCACAGTGATTGCTCAACAGAAGACAGAAGTGAAGCCGACACTGTGAGCTGTGAAGATACTACAGAGAGCAGTGCTTTTGAACATGCCTACCGCCGTAGCCCCAGCAGGTGTCGTACAGCTA